TTTGGTGGAGGAGGTGGTGGTGGATTGGGAGGTGGGTCTGGATTTGGAGGAGGAGCAGGTGGTGGCGTTGGAGGTGGTTCTGGGATTGGAGGGTTAAGTGGTGGTGGCGGCGGCGGCGGTGGTGGTGGTGGTGGACTTGGAGGTGGTTCTGGTGGAGGATTTGGTGCTGGTTCCGGTGGAGGTTTTGGTGGTGGATTGCCTTGAGTGCATGCATTTGTACGTATAATTACAATGTGCATGACATGGTTGAGTTAGTTGTGGTTTAATTTGTTTTTTCATTATTTTAATATTTGGAACTATGATTTATTTATGATTTCATGTTGTAATAAAATAAATAAAGCTGTTGTCTATAACTTTATATTATAATAAAGATTTGTGAGGTGAGGTGTTAGAGATTTTTTATTCTCTATTTATAATTATTATTGAAGAATTAACAATCATTCAAGAGTAAATTACACGAATGGTCCCTATGGTATGGGTAATTTGCACGTTTGGTCTCTAACTTATTTTTTTAACTCGGAAGGTCCCTATAATTTGTTTTTGTTGTACGTTTGGTCCCTGTCTTACCTAAAAATACTATTTTGCCCTTGATTTTTTTAATTTATTTAAATAAAATAGGGTATGTAAGGTAAGATGAGGTGGAAGTGGGGTTAGGAATGTGTTTATTTAAATAAATTAAAAAATAAGGGCAAAATAGTTTTTTAGGTAAGAGAGGGACCAAGCATGCAACAAAAACAAACAGTAAAGACCTTACGAGTTAAAAAAATAAGTTAGAGACCAAACATACAAATTATCACAAACCATAGGGACCATTCGTGTAATTTACTCATCATTCATTTAAAGAGTCTTTACCATCAATAATAATATTATAAAACAACCATTAATTTTGTAGCTTGTCGGGCATGAATATGAAACACGAAAAGATGGTCCCTGGTATTTAGTAACCATAACCTTTAAACAAGATACTATAAAATTCTGTTTCTAGGCCTATCCATAAGACCTTCCGCCCCACAACCAATCTCCAAAGAGTACCTAGCCTATTATTATCCACACGCATATGTTTTGTGGTAAAATTAAACTGAAATTTGAAGAATGAGGTCCGTCCACCACTACCATCATCCACCACCACTCTCCACCACCCTAAACCACCAGCCTGCACCATCAGGATTAGGTGGGGTGTTGGTGTTTCAAAGACACAACTTTTACTTGCCAGTAGTAAATCCCACGAGGATCAAGGCCATGGCTATAACCACCTCCCGTCTGGTGGTTCTAGGTGTCAATTCACCAGCGACCACCGGAGATTTAACAGTCTTGATTCCCACAAGGTTTCCTCAACACCCTCCCTCTTCAATGTGTATGTGTGAAGTGTAATGATTTTGTGTTTTTATGGTTTACAATTACAGTCTGGCGTTCTTATTTCTTTACTGGATTGCCAACTTTGTGGTGCCAGGAATGGTGATGAGGGACCTTGAATCTGACGATGCAAATAAAGATGAAAACTCTAACGAGGAAGGCTTCAAGTGACAATTCCATTCATGTAAACTGTAATTTGTAATTTGTGTTTTAACAACGATAATATACAGTTTCCTGGGTTTGGTTTTCTGTATACGAAAAACACAATCCATCCATCCATCTCTCCAAGAACAACAAATTAAATTTACCTCTCTCTCTCTCTCTCTCTCATATTATTTGAAGAAGAATTTACAATTAAATCTAGCGACGAAGAATGATTATTATACATCTATCCAATCGTTTTGAATTGAAGTAACTGGGGATGCACCCCCTGGCTTGGGTGGTTTCTTTGAAAAAATTGATGTGATTGATTGGCGTAGTGGGTTGTTGTGGTTTTCTTCTGTATTTTTAGGGGGTGTTTTCCCATTATTATTATTATTATTATTATTATTATTGCTCTTGTCCTTGTTGCCAAACACGAAGCTTAGCCTTTTAAATCGAGCTTTTAGTTCACCGGAGGTGGCAGGAGTGTCTTCAGTTTGCTGATTCTTTGTGAGCCTTATGAACTCATCTGGGCTTAATACCATCATTACCACCGTCTCATACACCTACCCAATACCCACATAAACAAAAGTCAAAAATAAATTAACAAATTCTTTCACATATATAAATATAAATTATAAATATATAAGAATAAGATACCATACCTGACATATATCATCAAGTTTCTCAAACCAATTTTTGGCCTGACAAGAGGCCACAATGTAGTCTTTGCACTCGAGGAACATCTTGTACAAATATTCATTGCTTGAGGTTCTTGCCTCAGCAATCGCACAACCCGAACACACCTGAAAATCAACCTAACTAATTAATTAAAAACACACACACATTTTCCAAACAAAGAACATCTCAATGAAAAACATGACTTACAACACAAACATATAGTTGTTCAAACAAATCTGAAGGCGACAGATCCTCTAGCCCATGCAAAATGCCTTCCCTATATAATATAAAACATTCATGATCAACACTTGAATCACACAAATCAACAAATCTCACTTTCATTTTCACTTACACAGACAAATCTTCATCATACAACGGAGACTGTTTCACAGCTGGCACCGGTTTTGCAGTTCCCCATATCTCTCTCCACAAATTCCCTGAACACCAACCATCATCAATCATTTCCACATATAATTATAATACATCATTAAATCATTTTTTAAATAATATACCTTCTTTCTGCATACGCATACTCAAGTGTCCTCTAGAAGACGAATCGGAATCATCTTCTTTTCTTTCAACATCTCCAGCTGGCTCCCAATCAGGGGGTGAGTGCCATCTAACAAAATCTTCCAATATGCACCCTGGATTTGCAGCCTTGAAAGCTTGCATGTCTGAAAGCAGTTGAGAGCACCCTGCTCCAACACTGACCACATAAAATAAAAATAAAATAAAAACTCTTTCCTCCATTCTGAGATTTTTGTTTTTTATAAAATATATATTTTTTAATCCATTAACTAACCTCCCTGTACGTAATATAAACTCCTCTGTTTCCTTGACAAGATCCTCTGTGAGCAACGGCTCTTCCTGCATGACAGGGGCATACACAGGTTCACCAGTTTCCAACAATGTTAAATTCTCGCATTCTTTTTCAGCTCCTAATCGAACCACAGATTCCCCAGATCCAACTTTAGCATACATCATTACAGACTCTACTGATGATGACGTGGCAATTGCACGTCGTTTTTTTCTTGAGATACAGCAATTGATGACCTGTAACTGTTGATACAACAGACAGCAGTTCAAATCTGGAATTTTGTCAACAGGGATGCCAGGAATATGCTGTCCATCACACCATAATCTTCTTAACTGCACACACCAAAGGTTCAAAATCCATCAACACTAAGGCCTGTTTCTTTTTTCATTCTTAAGTGCTATATGAATATGAAGAAAAAAAACCTTCTGCCTGTTTCTTTTTTTTTTTGGACCAAATGAATTATCTGGATATGAAAATTTGACCATTTTACCCTTCTGTCTTAAATAAAAGTATATGTTATTGTACTTTCCCATTAATAATTTTATAACCAAAACCATCTGCTACAGAAAATTCCATTTTTCCCAAACTCATAGGATTAGTTTTTTAAAGAGGTTACACCCAAATATAAAGGGTTGATGTCACAAAATGGCAATCAATAACTCTTAATTTTCTCTTTAAGTCGCTTATCTTTTAGAGTTTTAATTGTACTCAATAGGACAATAAAGTCTTAATGGATAAGACACACTCCTTTCACTTAGCCCATAAAATCCATCTCTTTATATTGAGTCAAAAAGAAACACCAGTATATATCTGTCCCCATTATTAAGGAAACACGACGATCTATCTGTTAAGATTAAATTATGTCCCCATAAAATGAAAAATAAGCAGCACCTAAAGTATATACTATATATGCAAACTGAAGTAATTTTAAAACTAGAGCAACTCACTTACTTCTGCAACGACCCTGTACCAAAAAGATGCCATTTTCCTTAGAGTTTTCAAGCATCCAATGGCTTCAGCAAGCTCTACAACAAAGCTGTCAGGAGGGGCAGCATGAAGGTCTTTAAGCAAAGATATAATTGTTGGATTTGTCTCCAATTTACACGTACTCTTCCTTCCAGAAAGATGCCCTTCTGTGATTATCTTGCAAGGAATTGAAAGATCATCAAGGGCAATGCGTGAATACATCTACAGACATTTACCAAAAGAAAGAAAGAATCTACCTGCACCAAGTAGTGAACTGATAAGTGACACAACTTTGACTTTCTCATCAGTACCGAATTCCATATCAATCTTATCTTCCTTATCCCTCAGTACTAATGATTTCACTGTGGAGAAGTTTAAACCAGCTTTCTCCCTCACAGGCGAAGAATCTCTTGATGACATCAGAAGATCTTTCATTGACCTCACCATTCTGGTCGTCCTGCAATTCACAATCTCATTTACACAAAACTTCACAAGTTGGAAAATTTGGCAAAATCAAACAATGGAAAGAACTTACTCAACACCTATCGCCAATTGCCTAAGCACAGCAGCTGATGGTATGATATCAATATTTGAATCGTCTGAACCCAACAAACCGACTTCTGCCTCCTAAAAGATATGAACATCACTTTCAGTTGTATGATATGGAATGTAAAGATTCTTTAATACTAGAGTGCAATAATATACACATACAAATGAACATAACTAAGTCTTAAGAGAATCGATGTGAAGTGATTATTTTTGTTACCTTTGGCATAGGACTCAAGCTTGGTAGGAACATATTTTCATCGAATATTGGAACAGATATTGATGTATCATCGGATTTATCAGCTTCTGGAGCTCCCTTTTTCCCAAACCTTATGTTTTTAAATCTATCCTGCCAATCCTGCTTCGTTTTAATTGGCTCAGGTCTCCACCTTGCATTCTTTTCCTGTCGATGATAAGACCAGAGTCAAATTCACCAAAGAAATCAGATTCAACATAAGTTGAATGTAAGCAGCCAATAACTAAAGCTGAAATTGTTCACTTTTGCAAACCAGACCACTAATAGAAGGGGAAAAACAGTAAATTCCGATTCCTTTTTGCCTCTATCGATCATCCATGGAATTACAAAGTGAACATCATAATTCCACTTGGAAATGAGAAAACGGTATAGACTAGGATTAGCTCTACCTTTGTAACGATCACACCGCTAGGAGAATCGTCTTTCTCAGAAATCGGCGATTGTTTACCGAGCTCCTCTTCAGTGTCAAACGATGCACAAATCAAGTCAAGATCCAAAGGATTAAATAAAGTAAACGAAATAAACCCCAAACTTTCAAAAATAGCACTTGCGATTTCGATTGTAATACGAAACTTGAGTTGGAATGAGATGAAACTTAAACAGAGAGAGAAGATTCAAACCTAGATCGGTGGAAGAATCGGATTTTTTAATATCGGTGAAGACTTTCTCGGCCTTGGCAGCGGCAGAATGGAAGGCAGTCCTTGCTTTAGACACAAATCCAGTGGAAGACGCCGCCATTTTCTGCAGTGTTGCGAATTTTGGTTACGAGAATGAGGGCATGTTTGGAGGGAAATGGTGTTTTCACCCAATCGATTGAAGAAGAAATCAGAAAAAGCACACACACAGTAACTGCATGTGTAGATGTATTGTGTGTACAAAGAAAGAGATTCAAGAAACAGTCAAGGAGTGCGCATCTCGTATTTCATTGCTATTATCGAATTGGATATTACAACAAAGTTTATTTTATTCATAAAAAAAAACGTTTTATAAATTATGTTTTAACTTTATAAAAAGCGTTTATATTATAAGTTTATAGTTAAATGAAAAATTCAATTATCTAAAAAAATAAAAATTAATCGTAAAATAAGTTTATCTTTATGTGCAAATTGTCCGGCATTAACATAAATTAGGTCAATAGCTTTTAAACAACTTATAGACATAGTCAAATACATATCCGATCAACCCCTAAGGCCTAAGATAGTCAACAAACACATAAATTGACGTTGTTAAATATTTAATGTTTTAACATAATTCATATTCATAACTAACATTAATTTCAGTCTTCTCCAACTGTTACACCATAAAAACGGATTGGATTGGTTTGTATAAAAGTAATGATGGTATCAAAAGTATCAAATGCACGTCTCCCACTCTATATTGAAGATATACAAAGTGTTATGCCATGGTCGCCATTTTGGAATTAGGTGTGATTACTTAATCATTAAGTTATGATTAACTTTACATTATATGGGATATCTAATCATCAACTAATAATTCGTGTTTAATTATTATGTATTTATGTTTTTCTTTTGAAAATATGTTTAATAACCAAAATTTTATAAGATCAAACGGGATTAAATTGTCTTATTATTACATAGTTTTACATAGACCTGGTAATTCATGTTTCTCTGTCGCAAATTTACACAACACGAATGTGTGAAACACAAGCATGACATGAATTGTAAACCGTGTTTTGGGTGTCAAACACGAGCATAACACGTAATTAATTTGTGTGACATGACATGGATAGACACGATTTTAACC